ACTGACTTTGAAAAGAAATGAGTGAAGAGTTACGCTTTGATATTTCAAAATGATAGACTCAGGGTAGAGATTATCCCAGCTTTCTACAATTTAAGAAAGAAACTGAGACCTGGACAACATATTTTAGTCTAGAACATGAAGTAGGTGACCTCATGCCTGGGCTGAGTAGGGATAATGTGGCCTCCAACATGGCAGAAAAAATTCCCATAATCCTTTGTAAATTCAATTTCCTTCAACAACAACAAGAAACAATTTTCAGATCAGACCAGAAAGGGTTGAAGCAACATGAGGAGGGAAGAAATCAGGTAGTATGTTGGGGCAACATCCAAGTGTCCAGAGAATCATGGAGAATGGAAAAGGTGTAGAGGACTAGAAATGAGAAAATGTCTTAGTTTTTAAAATTTGGTTTAGATGATTAAATAGATGACCTGTCATTTTTTAGAAGAGACTGGGGTGGTATAAGGAACACTCATGGGCTTATGAAGACCTGGCTGTACCAACTCTCATTTTCTTTCTTCACATGATCACTAGCTTGAAAGATACAGGGAACACGTTGGTAAAGTTGTGAAGAGGGACTCAACGAAATCTGAAATTGTGAATTCTGGCGTGATGGACAAATACAAAAATGTTAAATTTAATAGGAGGAAAGGTAATGCTTGGTTCTTGAAACACAAAAATCAGTAGGCTGAGAGTCCTGGTCAAGTTTCCCTGTGTGTATTTCCGGTGTTTGTGTGCGTAAGTGTGTCCTGGGGGAGGCACCGTGGTGAGACATGTGAGTAAGTTTCAATGCTGATAGGGCAATCATTATCTTCTGACAAATTCTCAGGAACAGCTACGACTAGAGACTGTAGAGAGAAAACACAGTACTATACATTTCTAATGGTCTTGGGTCCGACCGTTTTAATGGTATGTGCAGAGCATATACATATGGTTAGTGAAAGGATGTGGAGTCATCCCCACCCCCATGCAGGAACAAAGTCCAAGTGGTCCTCACATAACCAGACCAGAGACAGAGGCCGCTCCCTTCTCCTCCTGCTCCCTCCTTTGCCTCCCTCTCTTTCTTCCTATAGGAGCTCTTCTCGCTCTTTCTCCGGGTGTCTGTCCCGTTAGCCCACTGCTTTCTGCTAACTGAACGTCTCTGCTTACTCCTCAGTATGCACATTGATCAAAAGGCTGCCCCAGCTGTGCATAGCACCACCGCCATCTAGCCACACCCTCCATGGGTCTTAGCTGAATGCCTAGAAGGAGAAACTGGTGGTCCAGGAGGAGCTGACAAGCCTCAAAGCCATCCAATCAGCTGTGGTCAAGGGAGCAAGGGTCGTGTGGGCAGTGAGGATGGTGGGTAGTGAAGTTTCTGGAGAAGGAGGTATGTGGACCGCACATTCCTGGAATGGGACATCATGACATGGAAGCGAGTCATGAGAAATAAATATTGGGTGGGTGGAGTTTAGATGTGATATGTACCAAATAGAGCAAATAACTTGCTTTAGGTGTATTTAGTCACAACTGTACAGCCAAATGCATTGTTTCCTCATTGGTCAGACATACATGGGATGTTTCGTTCAGCTCTAGAACTCATCCAGGTAGAACTATCAGGAGAGTACAATGTCTGCAAAAAGCATTTTATGAAGAATAATTGAAGAATGTTTAGTTAGGAAAAAATAGTATTTCAAGATAGTTTTCAAAATTCAGGGTAGGACTAGCTGTCTGTAAACATTAAACACTGTGGTATGGGAAGCCGACTTTTTCCACTCTTCCTTCCTCTCTCTTCACTCCTTCCCCTTTTCCTTTTCCCTCCCTCCCTCCCTCCTTCCCTCCCTCCTTCCCTCCCTCCTTCCTTCCTTTCTTCTTTCCTTCAACAAACATGCAGAGACCAGCTGAGCTATGCTATTTCCTATAAGTCAGATACTTCCTCCTTCCCTATCTCACTCCCTCCCTCCTTCCTTCCCTTCCTTCCCTCCCTTCCCTCCCTCGCCTCCCTCCCTCCCTTCCCTACTCTCCTTCCCTTCCTTCTCTCCCTTCCTCCCTCCCTCCCTTCCCTTCCACCCCCGCACCTAACCCTGTGAGTGTTGTTCCCTTCCCTGTGCCCAAGTGTTCTTATTGGTTGTCACCCACCTAGGAGTGAAAACTGTGGTGTTTGGTTTTCTTTTCTTGTGTCAGTTTGCTGAGAATGATGGTTTCTAGATTCATCCATGGGAGTATTTTTAAGAGGAAGACAAGTTTGCTTGGTATCGTTATGACAATTACTAGAGACATAGTATAGCTTGACGTAAGGAAGATCTTCCTAATATTTAGATCTGTGCAGAAAAGAGATCCCCATCACAAGGCGTATTCAAACAGAGGCTTGTATAATCATCTATCAAGGTTGCAGAAGAGGCGATTCCTGCATTGGGTGGGAAGCCAGAGTAAACAACCTTTAGATCTCTTCCATCTTGAAGATTCAATGGTGCTGTCATAGCAGAAAAAAAAAAGTCTGTTTACTTTGTACATTGTTGATGTCTCCTGGCAGATTTAAATAGCACTATGACATATACCATGAAATGAAAACAAGTAGAAGAAGGGAATGATAAATGTACACTTTGGATGTGTGTATGGACAGCTGTGTATTTCCTTTCCTTTATGTGCATTTTGACGTGAGGCTGTTAATATCCAGAACTGTAGTGGCTGTTTTACAAATCAACAGTCAGTATCTGACGTACTTGTCAATGTCAGGGGCAGTGACACAGCCAGCTCTACGTGCTTGCGTATAAATATGTGGTTATGTATGTGTAAATAAGAAGAAAGGGACTATGATTTGTAACTAAATGATTACTATTTTCCATTTAGTGCAATATCTATTCTATTATTGCAAAGCAGTCACTTATAAATCTTTTGCAAGGCAATGATTCTGAGGAGAGTTAAATATCAATCTAAGTATAACACCAGTATGTAAACAGGTTGATGAATTGCTAGATTGCTAGGATATAAACCATATGGAGCTGCAAATACTGCTCTAAGGAGCTGGGGATAATTTTAGCTTTTCATGAAAGCCGAGGATGAGATGGAGCTCTACTCCCAGTTGATTAAACTTCCCAACGCTCTTCCACTACTGCTCTCGAGGCTATGTGGGACAGTTAGCATTGTGAACATCGAATACATGACTTGATAGATGGTTTCTCTCCTAATGCGGGATGAATGAGTTCTATGGAGACAGTGCTGTAGAGGTGGACTGGGGAGAGACTGGTACCTGAAGGCTGGTCCTCTGCAATGCTGCCTCAAATTTCGTGTATTTGATTAAGGCTCAAAAGCATTCAGCAGATCTTCCAAGGAGACTCGGATGCAAGTAAAGGTTAAGAGCCTTTTACTTTTTAAGTGGTAGGAATAAGGCTCAAATCCAGGTTTCCTGCCTTTCAATTTGGGGCTTTTTAAACAAAATCACACTAGCTTCACATACTAAATCCTGTGATGGCCTAATATATTTTATACCTTGGTATCATCAAGATTCTCTCTCTTTTCTGGGTTGTGAAGGTAGATCCTTCTCCCTTTACAGCTGTATATGTAGCACCCCTCTTAATGCTGGGGGTGGGTAGAATTAAGTTGAAGGATCTTGGGGCTTTTATGATTTAAAGAATTTTAGGCTAAATCTACGCAGTCAGAGTGTAGCAGAGAATTAAGCAATTTTCAGCTAAATTTGAGCACAAAAGGCAGCCAATGTGGAAAATTACTTAAGCCCTCTCTGAATCTGGCTTCTGCAAATCTGACCTGAATTACCAAAGAAGAAAGCATTTTCTATGGAGTGCTCAGAGGGGAACCACAAAGATTAGTAAAGAAGGCTCCCAGGAAAGGTTCTAAGGACAGCAATCATTTGACAAGGAGGCCATGGATGAATATGCTCATGGCTGCCAAGTTTATACAACACTTTCACGCAGAGAATTATGGCCTGTGCTCTCTGAGCACAAAGGGAGGCCAGGGTTAGCCTACAGCTTGAGGCCTGCATGTTAGCTCCTGGGGTCCTGTTGGCCTGACTGAGGTGTGGCCAACATTTGGATGATCAGGAGCATTTCTCTTCTGACTCTCAAAATGGCAAGCCAAGGATAGCTCAGGGAAAGGCTGGGGCTGCCACACCCTAAGAGCAGAAGGCTCCCTGAGTACGGCTGTGTTCTGGAGCAGCTGGGCTTGGAGAACCCTGCGCATCTCATCCCAAACTGCCCTCCTTTCTCTCAGCAGAGCCTCCAGGAGGAAGATTGGAAAGTGACTGGGGTAACGACCATCCTTTTGTTGCATTTTCCTTTTTTTTTTTTAACGGAGTCTCTCTGTCACCCAGGCTGGACTGCAGTGGTGCGATCTCAGCTCACTGCAACCTCTGCCTCCCAGGTTCAAGGGATTCTCCTGCCTCAGCCTCCCGAGTAGCTGGGACTACAGGTGCGTGCCACCACGCCCAGCTAATTTTTTGCCTTATTTTCCATTCCATGCTGCTCGAGTGTGGATTCTTTTCATAGTGTGTTTTGTTTGTTTGTTTTGAAAACCACAAGTTAAAGTGTTGCTATAGTTTTCCCCTGGGGACTATGCTAAGTGCCTCTTACCATTGGATATAGTAATTTATTCTGACGTCATTAGGTATTTATCTCAGATATGTCTCTTAAAACTTCCCGGCTGCACTTCCAACATGCTTAACTCCGTGGAGCATAATAAGTTAGGACCACTTGTCAGCACCTTGCTGGGACTGGCATGAACAGGACCCAAAAGAGATACAATTTTATGGAGTGAGTATATTAAACAGGGGTGGAAAATGTATGCACATCACCTTTAGTAGTACCTGGTAGGGCCTGGTGTAAGGCATATCTTATGAGGTTTTAGTGAAATTTAAAAAAAAATTATAAACATACATATATGAAAGAACAGACTTTGAATTAGATAGACTGATTACTGTTCTATGAAAGAATGGGTAATGAAAAGAAGACAGAGGAGGGGGAGGAAGGAGGTGGGGGGAGGGGGAGGGGGAGGGGGGGAGGGGGAGGGGGAGGGGTGGAAGACAGCATCCTGAACCGAAAGATACTAAAACCCACCACCCTTCCCAAAAGAAGTTTCTGAGTTCAGTCGCTACCTAGATATTGGTGTCATTTCTTCATCACATGTGCCATAGTTAGAAGCAGTCACAGTTGTGTCCACTGCCACTCTAGGTGTGTAACATTTGGCAGGAAGAGAATGCATTTGCTCGAACCTGACTCCCAGTTGCCAGCTAACTTAGATAAAGTCCTCCTCTCAGGGCCATCTCTCCACTGATGACCTTTGTGGCAGTCCGGATCTGCTTTCCTGCTCTGAGAACTTCCAGTTAAATCCCCCTTATCACTGGCAAAACTTGACCCCCAGCACACAAAGCATGTTATGGTACAGGGGGAATGGAACTTTCTGACTTTAAAGTTAATTTGGCTTTGCTTACCTTTGAAATGAGCATTTGTGTTTTGAAACTGTTTATGAGAAGTTCTCTGAGCACTGACCTGCAAACACAGATACCAAGAAATCCAGGGCCAGCGTGTCTGAATAACTAGGATAAAGACAATTGAGTTGAATAATAATAAAATCTGGCACCTATCCCTTGAGCTTTTAAATTCTCCAATTGCAATTCTTCCTTGTCCTGGGCCGTCGGTCCAGGGAAAAGAGCACAGGCTTTTGAAACGAACGTTTGTCATAAAGAAATGATTTCAGCCTCCACCTGCTGTTTACCACCTTTGAGAACTTAGGTAGGCTGTTTCGGTCATGAAACTGAGCTTTGTCTCTGGCAGATGCAAAAAGGAACAACCTTTACTGCACAGTGCTTTTGAGAGACTAGATGCAGTAATAAGAGTTTTCTAAGTGTTTACAAGAATTTTATTTTTTTCCAAATTTTAAAGAGAAAGAAACTGAAGTCCAGAAAGGTTAAGTAACTTGTCCAAGGTACAGGTAACCCAGCTGGTAAATATCATATTCTAGAATTTAGATCAGAATAGGTGATTGAGAAATGCCTGTGAAAATCAGATTAACATCATGTTACTATGACCGTACCTCCCTCAGAAATTTGCCTTTTGGGCTAAAAGAACCATGGTGCTCCTTGATATCTTCACAAACTGTTTCGGGCTCAATTTTTTTCTATAGGACACTTTGGAGATACAAGGAAGAATGAGTTCCTGTCGCCTTTGTTCTGTGATCCTTATAATACAAAAGTGACAGCAGAATTAATCCAGAACTATAGATATTAATTCAGGAAAGCATCAGTAAACGTAGTCCTTAGGATAGTGTTTTGCAAATAGTATGTGTTCAACAAATATATGTTGATCTGGTGATTAGAAGAATTCACCAATAGTTTGGTGGATGGCCAGGAAGTCCTGGAAAAAGATACATTTCATATTGCACTCTCTTATTCTGGGGGAAAATAGCCAAGCATGGATTTTTGACAGCAGAGCGAGAGTCAATAGGACAATCTAAGAACTACAAATCAAAACGGTGTTTTGGCTAACAGGGCAGGTTCTAGACACTTGCCATGGTACCAGATGATGTTTATTCCAACCAGAAGGTGGTTATAAGGCATCTCTTGAATTAAGTGTTTCTTATTACTTGGATATTAGGTCAGATTCTGCTAGAATAAAGTCATGATCACTCTGCTTTCCAAATGTATTTGTTTTCACTTTCAAAAGCACACCTACATCTTTATACACTGCCTTTTTGACTTGATCCCAGAACCATAAGAAATAAAAATATCCATGATCTTTAAGGGGTAGAGCTGGAGGCTCATACATCTTGCCTACACCTGGCAAAGTTACTGACACGTAAAGAGTCCGTAACAAATGACAATTTATAGATAGCATGGAGTGTTTACCGTGTAGCAGACACCGCTCCGAGCACTCATATACATTGGCACATTTCTTAAGAGTTCAGCATAATTGTGATGGGTGCGTCACTCGCTAACAGAGTGACCCTGGGCAGGTTACTGAAGCATTTTGTCCTCAGTTTCATCATCTATAATGTGGGAGTCATAACTGAGACAATTCCATAAGGCTGTGGTGCAGATCATCTGAGTTAGTATCTATCATGCCTTTGGAGCAGTGCTGCATACGCGACTGCTCAGTAAGCACCAGCTTGTGCTTGCATTTATCCTAAGATCACCTCTCAAGTCATTGTGGGAATCAAGATTTGAACTCAGCCTGCCTGGCTCAAGAACCTGTGACTCCAATCACTATTTATTTTGAATGAGTTACCAAGTAAGTGAAGAAATAACCCGAAGTCATATGGCCAGATAGTGACAGAATCCAGGTCTCCTGTCCCTCACCCCACAATTCTCACTCTAGACCCATACTGAGTTGCTGCAAGTGCACAGATCCAGGTTCTCTGGGAGGGAGGCAGGAAGTTGCTCCTGTACATGTGGGTCTCATGCTCCCCCTTCCTCCTGAGACTGCACCCCTTTTCCAGGCTGCAGAGGCTGGTGGTGCCACTGCACGCAGGTAGAAGCCAACATCTCCATGGGAGCAGATTATTGGTAAAGGATTGTATTCTTCAACCCATGCAGAGAAAAATGAATGGACCGAGCAGAACAATAATAATAAGTGACATTTGAAGAGCACTTTCCGGTTGACAAAGCCCTTTCACATCCATTGTCTTGCTTGACCATTGGAGCAACTCTGTGATGTAGGTTGTTATTTCCGGTTTTGAAGATGAGGTAACCTGAGCACAGGGATGGCACGTGACTTGTCCACATTCGAAGGGTGGGCAAATCCTGGAGCCCAGGCTTACACTGGAATCCCCTGATTCCAGATCCCAGGTCCCTTCCTTAAGAAAATATTTGACCCAGTACACTGATGGAACTTTGTCCCTGGCCTCAGAAAAATTAGCTCATGGTATTTTCCAGTGTAGAGTTTGATCTACTTAGAAAAGTGAGTTTGAATCTTCCTGAAGGCAGAGGCATGGATAGGATGACCCAGACCTCAACTGAAGCCAGGGAGCTTTGTGATTCCCTTCCAGGATTTTATGAAAGAAATAAAATCATTCATTTAAAATGCTTGCTGCCAGAAATGTCAGAGAAGCTGTAAAGGGCCATTTATTTGGGACCTTCCAACCATGTGTTATGGTAGAAAATATGAGAGAAGGAATAGGCCATTAGGAAAATTATTTTATTCACTTCATGTGCTATTGTCTTGTTCGGATAATATTTTATTTGAAAACTTGTGTTCATAGCACTCTTCCACATAAAACCCTGCTCTCTGGGTCCTCCCCACCTCATGCTGCTTTCTCTCACATGTATAGAGATTGTTTTTCGTTTTGAACCCAATTGCTTCCTCTTTGATCCCATAGAAAATCACCCTTCTGGGCGTGTGGTGTAATGACTTCCACGGCAATGGGCTGAAGTTGCAGGTAACCCATTATGTGAGTACCAGTACGCCAGGCTGCGCAGAGAGACCGGAGCTGGGAGTTCTTTTAAAAACTGCTGTCCTTGATAATAGCAGGACAGAGGTAGAAAATTACTGGCATTATAAATTGCTTTTCCGATAAAGGTTCGACTCTGTGTTTTAAAAAGCTGTGCCACACAGAGAAAAATCTCTGCATTTTTAATTGTAGATAATTTTGTGTAAGAAAAACTTCCCCAGGAAAATGGTCTCATGAAATATGCTTTGTTTGACTTTGGCAAAGCTCCATGTCATTCTAAATGAGTGCATAAAAACAGACACAAACAATATTTGCTATTACCTAAAAGCGTAAGAGATAATTTACATCAAAAGCAAAGGAGGAGACTGAGAATTGGAGGTTGGCCCCTGCAGAGCTCCCCCTTTCACACTCATATAGGAAAGAGCAGGAATAAAGGAAGTGTGGTGTACTGCCACCCAGCGGTGAGTCAGGGAAGATGGAAGACTACCATGGCCCCTCGGTGTCCAGAGGAGCCCCACCTAGATGAACAAAAAAAAAAACCAGGGCAAGAAGAAGCAAGACCCAGTCTTGCTAAAGGAGAAGACATGTTCCAAAGTTTATGCTTTACTCAAAGAATGCCATCTTAGAATTTGTTTATGCTTATCTCAGGCATAATTCTAACATGCATAACCTTCAAACCACACGAGCACATTGGAATCAAGTAGAATGGAGAGAAGAAAGGCAGCCACTTGTGTATAGACTTCTCTGTGTAAGCAGGAAGGTGCTCCCCGTAGGGGACAATGGTGGACTCCTTAGAGCTGCGATCCAAGTGTCTCTGTGCCTTTTGCTAGCTGGGAAACTTGGTCAAGTCATATGACCTCACTGTACTTCATTTTCCTCATCTGAAAAATTAGCATGATCATTACACCACCTACCTCATAGAAGTGTTTTGGAGGATTAAAGGAAAAATTCGTAGAAATAGGGCAGTTCCTGATGCTTAGAAGGCATTCAGTGTCAGGCATGAGCATTTTAGAAATGTAGAAGCTCAAATCTATTAAGAACTAAATCCTGGTTGTTATTTAAATTATTCATTTGTTCATTCAATTCACATTTATTAAGCATATATATGAGCCAGGCAACGAATGGCCACTATGTAAATAAATGTAAATAAGCTACAACCATTCCCATCTAGGAACTCAGACTGCAAGCAAAATGCACAGCAGTGGTGGGAAGTGCTGGAGGGGCATTTCTGTGGGAACACAGACCCTTTCCCTGGAGAAGTCAGGATGGCTTCCTAGGAGGGACATTCAAGGGGGTGCATGGGAAGTGAGAAGCAGGGAGGGCATTCCAGAGGAGGATGCGACATGTTTAAACAAAGACTCAGATGGAGGGAGAGCTGGTGATTTTGCTCCTCAGGTGTAAAGGTGGGTGAGAGGGGAGTTGAGGCTGAAGAGGTGGGTGGGGCCCACGCTGGAAGGGCCTTGCCTGTGCAGCTACATCCTTAGTTTGCTCGAACCTAACTTCTAAGTGCTAAGAAGTTCAAACTTCTTTAGTACTAAATATATTTATTTTTCCCCACGCAAAATCTCATGGAAACTGCAGCATATGAAAAAAATTAAAGCAGCATTTCATTAAGAGACATTTAGTTTGTAAGTTCAAATTTATGACAGTTACAGAATGAATCAATAGGATTATAAAGAGGTATTTATTAATGAAGCAATTTGGGGATATGTGTGACAAACTCAACTTCATATATTATATAATTTTAATTGTATACTTTTAAGAATATTCTGATTCACTCTGAGAACTAGTTGCAAAAAGTAGCCTCTTTTAAAAATAACTCAGTTTGCAATCTCTAGATACCCTTAACTGACCTGGAAGTTTAAAAGGGCAGCAGTAAAGCATTTTTCCTTTAAATTTAAATTATTATCTATTAGCATCTTACATTGCTTATCATAAGTATCAAAGTCAGATGAAAAGCACCATAATCTTAAAACCATTACATGTCATTATTGATATGTGGCCTGGTTCCTGTCAATGTGTCATAGTCTGGCTGTTAGCTAGGATGAGACCGTGTACTGAGATATTACACTCGAGCCTTACCCAGCCTGTGAGTGAGGAAGGTGTCTTAGTCTCTTCATGCTGCTTTGACAAAATACCTTGAGATTGGGTAATTTTCACAGTTTTGGAGCCTCAGAAGTCCAAGATCAACGCGCCAGCAGGTTCAGTGTCTGGTGAGGGCTCTGTCACTGCATCTAAGATGATGCCTTGTTACTGTGTCCTCTGGAGGGAACAAATACTGTGTCCTCACATGGTGGAAGGTGAAAGGGTTTTAAAAAAAGCCTCGCTAGTTCCCTTCAGCACTTTTATAGGATTGCTAATCTCATTCATGAGGTCTCTATCCTCATGACTTCATCACCTCCGAAAGGCCCTACATTTTAATATCATCACATTGGGGTTGAAGTTCCAACATGAGCGTTTTGGAGAAGACGTAAACATTGAAACCACAGGAGAAGCCCGTTCATGTGAGCTCTGGGGGCCAGAGAGTGCTTTACATTGAGCAGCCAGCATGAAGCAGGCTGGCAGGTTTCTCCACAAATGGCAGCAGATTTTTTTTTTAAAAAAAGGTTCATTATTGTTGTTATGATTACTACAGGTTTGAGGGAAAAAGTCAGTAAGTAGTTGGACATAAAAATCATGTGTGAGCTTTGACAGCTGCCATCGCATTTTATTCATTTCCCTATGTCCATTGTCCAGCTTGGGGCATGTTACCTTGCAGGTTCTCCATCAACGTTTGTTGAATGAACTGAAGTTTAGGAGAGAATGTTGACCTCAGGATCTGGAGCGGAGCATTTCCAGAGTGTGATGTTTAACTCTGAGTGTCAACCTGAAGGATGCAAAGTACTGATCCTGGGTTTGTCTGTGAGGGTGTTGCCAAAGGAGATTAACATTAGAGTCAATGGGCTGGGGCAGGCAGGCCCACCCTTTGTTTGGGGGGCAGCATCCAATCAGCTGCCAGCGTGGCTGGAATAAAGCAGGCAGGAGAAGATGGACGAGCAGACTTGCTGAGTCTTCCAGTCTTCATGTTTCTTTCTCTCTCTTTTTTTTTTTTTGAGATGGAGTTTCACTCTTGTTACCCAGGCTGGAGTGCAATGGCGCGATCTCGGCTCACCACAACCTCCGTCTCCTGGGTTCAGGCAATTCTCCTGCCTCAACCTCCTCAGTAGCTGGGATTACAGGCACGCGCCACCATGCGCAGCTAATGTTTTTGTATTTTTAGTAGAGATGGGGTTTCACCATGTTGACCAGGATGGTCTCGATCTCTTGACCTCGTGATCCACCCGCCTCAGCCTCCCAAAGTGCTGGGATTACAGGCTTGAGCCACCGCGCCCGGCC